CTCTCTCTCTCTCTCTCTCTCTCTCTCTCTCTCTCTCTCTCTCTCTCAGCTTCAACTACATAGTGAGACTTTCTCTCTCTCTCTTTCTCTCTCTCAAAAAAAAGTTATGACCCTAGTGTATGACAGGGATCCAATTAAGATGGAAAGGCACTAAATTTGTGGATGGTATTTAAACTGATGTCAGTGTCACCAGAAAGCACTGAGCCTGTAAAAATTTTGGGAAGGGGGTCCCTTGAAATGAGGAACATCAAGGCATTTAGTCCAATGAGGGATCACTGTACAGATCCAAGCAGAGGTTTGGGCTGACGAGTATAAGCATTATAAGCATTACTGCTGGGGCTATGCACCAGTGGAGACACTGCTGCCTCACCTAGAGGTGAGAAAGCTGCTTAAGGAGGAAGGACACCACTTGAAGTTCATCTTCAATTTAATGGAACCAGGCTCATCTAGAAGATGCCAGATGGAAACTACATTCACAAAACACAAAGATCTAGACATGTGCCTATAAACCAAACGCTCAGGAGGTTGAAGCAGAAGGATTGAGAATCGAAGGCCAGCCTGAGCTATACAAGGAGATTCCCAAAGCCAACAAAAATATGCAAGAAAGGCAGAAGGGCTTAAAATACAGAAGCACAGACCAAGTCTGGCATTATGTGAAGTGCCACAGGGCACATGATAAAGCCAGGCACAATGTATACAGCCAGAAATTCACTCACAAAAGCAAGTCACTTGCCCTGTTGCTGCAACTTTTAGTATGGCTGGTGGCCACCTTGTTTATGAGACTGTTCTACCAACACTTAATCTCAGAACTGGAAAAAAAACCTTGGCAGACAAAGAGTTGGCATCTAAAGTCTTATTAACAACACACTTGGCTGTCGGTATCTGCCAATAAAATGAAAATGTTAAGGTTGTATTTTTACCCCCAAATACACCATTGCTTCAGCCCTGTAAATAGGGTACTATCCAGCTTGAGGAGGTTACACTGGGTTAGTTAGCATCAAGCCAACAAATGACCAGATGACCTTACCTAAAGTTAGCGCCGGCAGTGTGGGATCTAGAACATACTCCCTTTCTGGATCTTCCACTTTGGGGCCCTCTGTAGTTTTTCTAAGCCCAGTATCTATTATGGCCGTTGTGTCTCTTTTGAGAGATTTTGTCTTGTTCTCATTCTTTTGCACATTTGTCTTACAAGGATCTGCTACCGAGAGATGTCCAAGTTGAAGATCATGTAAAATGTGGTCCTGTAAGGCAACTGCAGTGACTGCTAAGTTACCTTTTTTAGATGAACCCTAAAAAGTAGGAGGTGGGGGTTGTCTTATTTACTGAAACAGTATGTAACTTACCAAACATCTTTTAGAAGAAAACTGAAGCTTTGCGCTCCACCGGTGGCATATTAGCAAATCAATGGCAAGGAATGCCAGAGCCACAGCGTCCAAGTCAGAGCAAACCCAGACCCAACATCTATGTTAGAAACAGAAGCCTTTTCATTTAATTTCTGGAGCCTTAATTATAAACCAATACATTCAAACCAGTGTGTGCCTAAATAAACACCTGCTGTTTTGCTATAACTGAATTAGACTCCAGGCAAACATTATGCTTTTAAGCATAAGTTCTTTGGTGAAAACTTAAAGCATTTGCATTTGCAGGACCAGGTTCCTGAGCCAGGAGAGGCCTGCAGATAGCACTTACTGTTACCCACACTACACACACCTCCCACTCCTGCTCACAGCTCCTCATGAACACAAGGCTTATTAATTATTTTTATGCTCAAAGAAGGTCCAGTTTGACTACATCCCAAGAGTGAAATTATGGGTCGGTTTTGAGGAGGATGAAATACCTTATTTTTTAACATGCTCAATCAGGAAACACTGTGGCGTGGCTTCAACAAAGTCTAGCATCACATTACAATTCCTTCCATTCTTCTGCTGTGAACAGAAAGTGAGAGTGTTGGTAAGCATTCAGATCTCCTAGGGTTATGGAGACGATAACAGGAATGCCAGCTGGAGCTACACCTTCCAGCTTACAGTCATAACCCAGTCCATCCCTGTCCTCCAATAGCTCCCCACAGTGCTGGAAAGAATGTGAACACAAAGAACATCTAGCAGCAAAAACGGGGGTTTAGAGTGAAGTCTCAGACTAAAATCAGACACCAAGTGAACAACCCTTAAAGACAACACTTAAGCCAAGTCTTGAAGAAAGAAATGAGCATGTTGGATAACATGAGCAACAGCCAAGATGTTCAGGAACCCCGCATGCGTGTTTGTTTTTCAGGGAGAAAGGAAAACAAGAGGCGAGTATAAGGGGCCTGCTGTTTATCTTCAATCTGCCCACCACACAGCTGGACAGAAGAGGAGGACGGACTCACTGAGTCCCAACCTGCTTTCTGCTTTCTGGGGTAAGCTAGCTAAACATCTGGCTCAGTTTTTGCATCTATAAAAACACAAAATCACTGACATTGCAGGATTATTATACAAAAGAAGAAAACATCCTAAGGGCTTACAAAGGACTGTTCTGCATAAGATACTATGCAAATGGTTACTGTTGCTCTCATCCCCTCAAAAGCTGGGGGAAGTATTTGATATTGCCCCTTTTAGTTTTGGGACCATGGTGTATATTATTTTCTTTTTGCCAATTTTTATTAATACCTTGAGAATTTCAACACAATATTTTTTATTTAATAAATCTATTTATTTCATGGTGTTAATTTTAGGAAGGCAAGAGTGCATAATATTCTACAGTGGAGAGAAACAGAGCCCTTTTTAAAAAGCAGTCTAAAAAAGAGCATCGAGGGAATAACTTTCAGAAGGGTGCTGGCAGAGCAGCTGTCGCCCACGCATGCATAAAATGCTCTCTGTTCTAACCCCAGCATTACAATTTAAGAGTACAGGAAAGTGAGCTTTGTAGGAACTAATGTGTGAGACACCCGATTTAAGACTAAGAAAAGAACTAGCGGCTGCTCAGATTCTTCAGCAGCCTAGATCATTTTCACTGTGCCTTTCTCCTTATTTATTTTCAGTTCTGGCATGGGATCTATGGAAGAAGTTTGTATTCAATGTTTCTTGCCATGGCCTAGGCTGGAGAAAGGCAGATAAAATGCTGACAGGTCACCACCATAATTTGCCTAGTTCAAAATGCTTATAATCAGCAGAGACCAAGTATACCAAAAATTGTTTAATTTTCAACAAGATTCATATTATCGTTAACCATAGGTAGCTAATTTAGTCTACAGTTTCACTTAGTTTTTATTATACCGTTGTGATTGTTATCAAGGTAAGAGGGTTAAAAAACTGTCGCATCAAGTCCCATCGTATCAGCAAATTGTATAATTTTCAAAAATACTCGAAACGTGCCAGATTTAGTTCAACTGTATGAGAAAATATAAATGGAGACGAGGTGACCAGCTAATCTGGCAACAGGAAAGCGGTAAGTTTAACCTCTGCCAGGCACTAACAGCTACAACAGAAAACAGCCTGTTTGTAAACCTCTGCTTGCACATGTTCGGAGGTAGTGCCAGGTAGTGCACAGCACGGGGTGTCAAGGCATTTAGTCAACAATTGCTTTAAGTTAGCAGAAGGCAACTGATACACACAACAATAAAAATGCACACGCAACACGGCATACTACTTTTAAATACTCCTGCGGAGCCCTTGGACGTAGCCCCTGATCAAACCACACGCCACGCGCAAGGCAGGCAGGACCCACGGGCCGCCCACAGCGACTCGGATCGCCCGCGACACCCGTGCCTCCCCTCCCGCCCCAACACTACCCAGCGTCCGGGCCTCGCCGCCTCCCTCAGCACCCGCGCTTCTCCAAGCCCCAGACAGCGCTGCTGAACAAACGCACACCAGCCTCCCCGCCTCCGGGTCGCGTCGTCTCGTAACTGTTCCTCGTTGCCACGGCAACCAGCACTTCGGAGTGCGCATGCTCGCCGGTGCCTGGCACGCAATGCGCACGCTCCCGGGTTTTTGCCAAGTTCCGCTGACCAGTAGGCGGGGTCAGACGCCCTCTTCGCCTCACTGGCCGCAAGCGGTTTGATGCGCCGGCGCTTGCGTCATGGCCACGGCCCCGTGTCGTCAGCGAGAGTCCGGTTACGTCATCGTGAGGCGCGCGCAGATCCCCCTCCTTTTCCCAGACTGTCTGGTGTTTGTCTTGCTTCGTTCCCACCCGGCATACCCCAGTCAGACTGCGCGGTGCGTCCGGAGGATGCGGGGACTCGGGCGGCTTTTCGCACTGGGTTTGCTGTCGCCCCCTGCGTCGGGAGATTTGTTGGCCTTCTCTCGACTGCCTCGCGTGCGCCGTGGCATTGCCGCCCGGCCTCCTCGTGTTCCTCTCACGATGGCTGCATTGTCCAGCCTTGACTCCCGGTAACTGACCTGACGATCCCGGCCTGTTGTGTATTGCCGGGGCCTTTTCACGTTCGCCCCCCTCCTCAAGTGACTCCTTTCTAGCCCTAGCTCATGACTGCTCTGAAGGCCAAGGGAAAGGTGGAGAGAGCTGTCCCTGTAGCTACTGGCCTCCTGGGGTACCTAACTCCTCAGCTCTCAGTGACATCCCCCACATTGTCCACTGAACCAAGCTTGAACCCCTGGGGTCTTTTAAAAGTCTCTTGCTTCTTGGTCCAAGCAGAAGTCTGTATTGATTTTCTCCTACCTCGAATGAGTTTTTTTGTACATTAATTGAAATACAGTTCACCTAGAAATGCAAAGAAAACACAGTGCAAGGTTCCCTACAAAGAAAGTAAAGTCCGCAGAAGTTACTGAACTGGGAAATTGGTCTTCTGTCACCAACGTCCCAAAAGTCGAACAATAGAACTTTAAGTTCCTCTTAAAAGTTACAACTTTTTCTTGGCAATGAACTTTCTGAACTGGATCTTACTGTTTGAACCTTGTAAAAGCAGATTTAGCAGTTTTAAAAGTCAAATACACAATTAGTTTTAAGTTATGAATTTATAGTTTAGGAGTCTTTGAGGAAAAAGTATTTTTACCTGTGCTACAGTGAATTATGGATTTAGAAAAGCAGTAAGGCCACCTTTTGCAGTCTTAAGACTGGTCTTCATTGAAGCCTAAGTGGATAAAGCTTTTGCTAGACCTGAGTTTAATACCTATTTTTGGCAAGTTGCTTTATTTTCTTAAATTATGGATTTCTTACTTATAAAAGAGGCCTTGCTGAATCATGTCCTTGGACATATCAGTTATCTCCAACTGTAGTCCTAGAATTATTCTGTGAGTGAACGTGCGGCCAATCTGAACTAGTTAGAAACTGTGGTACCATGATGATGGTGACATCATGGCGGGGCGGTAACCTGGCCAAGCTGGGCCAGTTACAGGAACTCAAGTGGATGTGGGGGGGGGGAGCAATTGGAAAATTCCTTTAATTCTTCCTACTGAATGTAGGAACAAGAAAAGACACGAAACTGCAGCTGCATCTGCTCCATTAGCATCATGGGGTAAGAGCCTGAAGGTGTGGGGCCACCAGGTAAACCTTAGAAGGAGGATTACACAGGAAATGGTAGAACTGGGATTTGGACACAGTCCAAGATGGGTGATGGAGTTTGAGCCCTGGAGCTACCCCAGTTTTTGGTCTTTTCTCTTGCCTGCTTCGTCTCTTGTGGGTCTGGTTTTCTGTTACTTGGATCAGGAAGAATTTCAATGAAAATAGGGGTTCTGTTACCACCCTAGGGCTGTGATGAAGTTAAAATATAATATTGTATGTGAACTGCTTTGGACAGTGCCTACTTACTAATCATCTTGTTTTGAGGAATTTCTTTCCAACTCTATAAAGTTCTAGAAATAAATCCTTTTTTAAAAAAATGCCCAACCTTATCCAAAATATAATTTCATGATGTTTTGCTATCTAAAATTGGTTGGCCATTTTTCAGTTAGTCATAAAGATTTTTACTTCGTCTTTTGATTGAAAAATTAACCTTGTCATTATTACTTTGCTATAGGTTTTCTTCTCTATCTCCCATAGGAGGAGTCTCTTATGCTACCCAGTGTGATTTTGGTTTCTTAGAACCTAAGACTTAGCTAAGTTAACCCATTCTCCTGCCTCAATGGCGTGAGTATCTGAGACTATGTATACAAACATCTATCTGGCTTATGATTTTATTTAAACATTGCTTTTGCTGCATCCCACAAATTTTGAAGACTGGTGGTTTCATTTTCATTTAGTTCAAAATACTTTAAAATTTTTTTTGGAGTCTAGTAACTATGTCCTGGCCAGTGACGGTCCCTACAAAAAGGGTTCCCATCCCTTCAGTCTCGCAGTATCACTGAATTCTAACACTGTGTTACTCTCTCCTCACTCCTTTCATTGGGCCAGTGGATCAGCCTGGACAATGGAAAACAGACTAGCTCTAAGTTTCTGTCCTAAATTATTTTCTTTTTCTTTTCAGGGCTTCTTTGGACAGTTCTTGAAAGTCAGGCCTTCTGGTGGCAGCTTCCTGAACTTTTCATTTGTTAAAAAAATATTGCTTGTTTCTAGACAGGATCTCACTGTGTATTTCTGTAACTTGCTGTGTAGCCTAGGCTGACCTTGTATGGACATCAGTCTTCTTGTCTCCTTCCTGATTGTAAGGAATTCAGGTATGCACCATCATGCTCAACATTTTGCATTGATTTTTAAAAGAGATAGTTTGAGGTAAAGTCCACGTAGAACAGCACTGATCATCATACAGCTCAGGGGCATTTGACAAATTCACAGGGATGTTTAACTACCTTTCTCTAGTTTTAAGGCATTCTTGTACTGCATGGTGGAGATAAATCCCAGATTCATGCAACAGTGTCTGCACTATCCCAGCCCCTAGCAGCTGCCAATTTGTATTCTGTATCCATAGGCTTAGACTTATGTAATACATAATCTTTGATGTCTGGCTTCTTTTATGTGACATTTTTGAGGTCCCTTGATGTCATAGCATGTTCCAGTGCTATACATTTATATCACACTTGATTATATGATCATATACAGACTCATGTGTTTTTTTTTCTTTTTTCAAGACAGGGTTTCTATGTATCTTTGAGCCTATCCTGGAACTAGTTCTTGTAGATCAGGCTGACCTCGAACTCACAGAGATCTACCTGTCTATGTCTCCCAAATGCTGGATTAAAGGCTTGAGCCACTACCACCTGACTTTATGTCTGTTCTTATCACTCTTGTGTACATGCAATCACTGGGTGGTGTATGACTGTTTTTCCCAGCAGTTGCTCCCTATTCTGTTCTCACAAATACGGTATTAGGTTTAAATGCTTCCACAGCTCTCCTAACACTTGTTTTCTACATTTGTCTTGATGTTAAGACAGGATTTCATTATCACCCTAGGCTTGCCTTGAACTCATAATCTTTCTGCCTCAGTCTCCTATGTGGTGGAATTCAGATATGAGCTACCATGCCTGGCTTCTGCTTAAAAGAATCCTGTTAGTTAAGAGATGGTGTTATGGTTTTATATCTTCCTAGTTACTGGTGATGTGGTGTGTCTTCATGGACTAGTCTTTAGTGGGAAGTGCCCTGTTGATAAATCTTTGACCCACAGCTTCTGGTTGGGTGTTCTCATTCTTCTGATGAGCTATCCAAGGCAATTTTCATTTCTGTTATGGTGTTTTCAACTGGTATTTCCTTTTGATACTGTCTTGTTTCCTTCTCTGTGCTCCTTTTTTCCATCTGCCCTTGCAGGTGGCTTACTTGTTTCACCACAGCATGACAGGCTACTTTATAAAGAAAAAAAGGACTGTTGAGCTTGATGTTTGAGTTTGATAGGCATGGTAGGAACATCAGCTTCATACTTGATGCTATGCAATGATAGGAGTTTCTGTGGGAGGATGAGGCTTTGTGGCTTGATCAGAAGCCTTAGTGAGTCAGAGTCTGTCTTAGGCTTTTTGTAACAAAAGAACTAACTGACCGTAATCTTAAACCTACCTTTACTCTTCTGAAGAGGATGCTCCAGTGGCCAAAGGTTTCAACTGTGTCATCACTGCCACATGAAGACCAAACCTTTAACATAATGGTTGGAGAACAGACAACATTCTAACCATAGTAACCATTATCTCATTAATCACAGTTTAAATCCCCTTTTTGCTAACTTCAGAGTCTGCCATGATTTTGTCTGTTGCTGCCTTCTCACTTCAGAAAATGCGTTTTCTTGCCTTCCGGCATGCACTGTCTTTTCCTATTGGAAGCTAGACGTGTGCATTGAGTGGTGTGATCTAAAGCCAATAGGTTGTTAGTATGAGATCTAAGTCTTCTTACGGTAGGGCTGTTGACTGTTGGAACTCTATTCTGCCATTTCATAGGCCAAAGCAGCTTATTTATTAACCAATGGTAATAAAACATATTCATAGCATAAAGAGGGGAATCCCACATCAAGACATGAACACACATCTATTCACCTCAGATAGGGAACTGACAACACACCAAAGAAAGGATACTCCTAAAGTTCAACTTGTGAACTGACGAGTTTTATTGGGATTCTTACATGAATGTGTGGGAGAAGTTACTAACACGAGCAGTAATGAATCAAACAGCTGCATCACCAAAAACCAACCCTAGCATGTTGGCAGCTTATGTATAAGCTCGCTGTACTTCCTGTTGGCAGTTCAACAGTTTGAAGACTGTTTCGGGAAGCTCAGGTGGTCTGAGCCTCTTTTAGACAGTTCAGCTTGTCTGAGGGTTCTAGATAACTTGGCTGGTTCCTGCTTGTTTAAGGTGACTTGACTGTTCTTAGACTCTTCTCTGTAGTCCTTATTGCTTCTATATGCTTGGGGAGGAAAGGGCCTAGTATACCTGCTCAGTTTCAGGGACTTGCTGAAACTTTTGAGTTGTTTACCTCTTTAGCTTAGCCAACTTTGCTTTAGCGTGGAATGCTTGACCTCCTGTTAGAACATCCTGTGTCTTA